ACCCAGCCCCAGCTGCTGAGAGCCGCCAATGCACCGGCGACAGGGGGGTCACCACCGGAGGGGAGCACGACAGTGGGAAGTTGACCCCACATTAAATGGGGGGCCAAGATTGATTCAAGAGAGGTGACCACCTAAAACTCAACCTGAGACATAAACAGGCACACAGAGACAGCCTCTGTCGGGCCGTCCATGCGCCCCACCCACCTGACAGCGACCGCAAGCCGGCCCCAGGTTGGGGGCCAGAGCAGCAGGGAGCAGCAGCTGAGGAAGGCCGGCCCAACGCACCAATGATCAGGCATCCCTACAGCCCCCCACTACAGGCCCAGAGAGGCCCCGTCACCCCACACACACACACAGCACCCCCCCACCGCGAATGTCACATCAGGCCGACCAGCCAGCACCCCGTCAAAGCGAAGCCACGCCCCCGACCGCCGCCATGCACCACCAACGACCACACACACACAACCACAGCCGACCCCCTGCCAGAATCCAGCAGCCACCCCATCCAAAGGGCCGGCCACTGCAACCAGGAACCCTGATCAAAAGTTCCCAACAACCCAGGGAGAACAGGAGCACCGGCCCCACCCCCAATCGCTCCCCAAGGCCCAACACTCACCCACAGCCCAGACCCTAACCAGGCAGCCTACCCCCTGCCCCCGACCCCAAATGTCAAACGGAGAACGAGGGTTTAAGGAAAAAAATAATTATAGATGTATATATATACACACACACACACACACACACACACACACACACACACATATATATACATATATATATATATATATATATAATTAACAGGAAGACCCAACTCCTCCCTCCTCCCACTCAAATAAGGTGTTGATGCATGTTGTTATATAGTGCGTTTAAAATGGAGGGAGATGAGGCGGTGACCGACACAGACCCACCCCCTCCCCAGAGAGTGGGCAGTGCCCGTTCACCTCCCCAACCCTTGCCCAGAATCCTAAATGTCTACATGTTACATATGAGAGTGGGCACAGGTCCTGGAGGTGAGAATGATTACCCATCCCACCATCTATATACACCGTGTGCCCACTCCAGACCCTATATATGCATGTGTCGTGAGAATGTTATATGTGAGTGTCTAGGTTGTTTAATAAAATTGGGGCCCAGGTCTCCATGAATCATGGAGATGGAGGGTCCTCCCCGCAGCTCAGTAGTGCACCTGAACCCCAAGGCCCAGTTAAGTTTGGGTCTTAATATTAAACTTTGACTAGTTTGATGGACTTATCTTCTGGTTTAATTTTTGACCTCTTACACTACTGACCAAATTGTAGGAATAAAATAAAACTCCAGGCATTGAAGGTCAAAGGTCATGTGACTCCTGCTGGTATTATTGTGTGTCTAAGCCCAGATTAGACCTGTCACTTCTGTCTTGTGTGATCTGATGGCAAGTGGACTGCAAGCAGTAAAATGTGCACCCCAAAGCTTTTTGGTGATTGGATGTCAGTTAGTCTCCCTGTATGAAAATACACAAGCATCCTAACTTTCAGTTCTTTCAGCTTCCTGAGTGGCAGGGCGGAGCCTAACCAGCAGCTGGTGCTTTCCTTCCTGCTGATGAGGACTTGCATATTTACAGATGGTCTAACGATCTTCTCACCACTGGAACATTAGTATCTTTTGGTTGATTTGTCAACCATTGTAATCTTGCTTCTAGTGAAAAATACTAACCTTATTCTTGTCTGTCCTTAGCCCTGGTTCACTGGTGCTCCTCCTTGAATGTCGTGGTTCTTCTTTTGCCTCCCAGTAAGCCTCTGAACCCTGGATTTCATCTCGCTCCTTGTGTCTCCTTGTGGAACTCCTTTGACAACATACACCAGCCTTGAGTCCACCATGCCATTCTCCCCTACCTGCTACTCACCTACTCCTCCGCCGACGACCTGATCCTGGAATTCCCTGTCCTCCTCTCTGTGTCTGCAACACAACAAGAAAACAAAAAGACAAATTACCCTGAAACTCCATGAACAAATAACTCTAAGGATAATACTCAGCAGTCTACATCTCCCACAGATCCTCCCAGCATTCCTGGCACCTGTAAATAAAAGTATTTATTTATTTATTAACCTTTATTTAACCAGGCAAATCCCATGGAGATCACAGATCTCTTTTGCAAGGGAGGCCTAGGCCTGAAGGCAGCCTAACATGCATGTTTTTGATCTATGGGAGGAAACTGGAGTACACGGAGAAAGCACACTGTTTTGCTTTCCCGAGTGAGGTAGGCACAGGACACGTGCCACGCCCTCACCGCAGCCTCTCCTCCAACGGGTCTCAAAACTAATCCTATAGCTCAGGTATTACCCGCAGCCGTTTCCTAGGACAGTTTTAGTTTTAAGGCTGTGTTGAGATGATTCACCCAGACTGTTAACTACCTCCGATCCTTGCACCACACCCAAAGTTTCACCTCGTGCCTCGCCCGACCTAGCAGCAGGAGTGGGGACATATAGCAGATGAGGGAGCGCAAGTTAACGGTAGCTCATCTCCTGATTTAGCGTTGCAATTGTTAATAGATCTGGCGTTATTTAGAACCTAGGCACAAGGCTCATGGATGTTGTTTTATAATCAAAAGCTAATAAGACTGTTTAAAACCTCCCATGTTTCTGTTGTTTCATTGAACTGTTTTCCACTTCCAAGAACAAAAGGGTGTTTAAAATAAGAATCCAGAATTTTACGTTTTGCTATGCTTTAATCAATAACTTTTGCAGGGGAACAGCGGTATTGCACAATAATGATTACACTTGATTACAAAGAGATTACATGATGAATAATTTTCACTCCTTAGTCCCTTTTTAGTTGTTGACCTTTCCTGGGCAAGGTAGATCTCAGTCCCTGTGGATGGGCTTGAGACGGCTCTTGGACTCCTCTCTGCTCGGCCTCGGATGTCTTTTAGTCCGGCCGGCCACGCCCGGTCTCCCTCAGGAACACAAGTACCCACACAGTTTACCTACTCTCTCTACCTGACCCAACACATTATTTCTCACCACAAAGAAGACCCTTCTACAACTCTGAGCAACCAGATTTTTAATATAATTGATTTTTCTGCTTGTCAATTCATACACTACTGCTATAATTTGGGATAAGGCTTCATTAAGGGCAAAATCTGAGAAACGTCCTCTTACCATGGTTTTTGAAGAAGCAAGAGGCAAATTTCCCCATCTTTCTCTCAGATGTGGGCCGTTCCTGGTCCTCTGCTGGTCTGAATTTTGAAGAAAAGGATTTAGGAATAATCCGGGCTGATGGGTTGAAGAATAGTTCCAAAAAAGAAACTTATTCCAACGGATTTCACCCTAGTTCACCTCCAGCAGGGACTGTCCAAAATTGCCCTATTAATCCACAATTCGTCTAGAGGTCCTCCGGGTCTTGTCCTGAGCTCCCTCGCTCGTGAAGTGGATCCCCAAAACAACCGAGTTTTCACTGAAACTTTTGTTTATATAGCCTGAGATTTTGACTGGCATCTCCAGACCAGTCACCCCATCAGGCTAATCCATCCCTTTTGGGTTGGACCTTGGTCCGGATTTACAGGCTTCTTATGAGGTTTTGCCAGTCACTCCTAATGCATATTAAAATATGGGTGTATTTTGTTCAATTATGCTTAGTCACCCTTGAGTTGTCCTATTCTGATTTGCTCAGAGCTGTGTTCTGGGGCTTTCCCATTGTGTAATACCTCTGCTTGTAACTTCTTTTCTAGAACATTCATGAAGCTACAGGTTCTTCTATCAACAACATGACCAAGCTTAAAACATATTACATTCTAAAATCATAATGATTACATTTTAAAATCACAAAGTTTATAATATCACTTGATCATCTACTTGTTTATTGATTTATTATAAGCACATCTTTCTCATTCATCTGAAACTGGTAATTTTTATTAAAAAGAAAAACATTTTCTGCTTCTGCTGTTCTCTCTGCACGTGTGTGTCTCCTATTGAGCCTGTGTGTGTGCGTCTTAGTGAGCCTGTGTAGTTGTGTCATATACATTCGTGCTTATGGGGTGTGTAAGTGTACGTGTTGCCCTACACATGTTTTTACTTATCCAAGGCTTTGAGGCCTACAAACAGGGCATGAAACAAGCAGAATAACACAGAATGGATAACAGGATGGACATGTCTTGACATGCCTGTTCTGTCGAGGCAGGCTGAACTCCGCACATCTTTGACAACACGTAAGCATGAGAAGAACATGCAAACTCCACACAGAAAGACCCCAGGTCCAACCGAGGATTGAATCCTGGACCTTCATGCTGTGAGGCAACAGTGCTAACCACTGAGCTGTCGTGCTGCATAATACTGACTTGTTTAAACTTATTTGTCTTTACTTTAACATTTATTTGAGTCTCGAGTCTCTTATTCCCAGTTTTGCTACTCGGGCTTTGTTATCTACTGTTGTCTACTGCAGTTATCATAGGTACCCAATGTTCCCCCTAGTTTAATTGCCTTGGCAGGGCGCTCATCTCTTCTATGATTTTTTTGTTGTTGACGGGGTTGGGGACGGAGAATGTTTCATCTCTACACATCTTCTCTCTGCTCTATGTGTAAATTTCATTCATTCATTCGACCTTTATTTAGACAGGTAAATGCCATTGAGCATTGAGGACTCATTTACAAGAGAGACCTGATTTAAACAAAGAAAGATGACAACAATGGACAACAGCGACAACAATAAACAGTTGTAAAAACTCATACTCCAGTTTTTTCTTTTTTTTTAAACAAATAGGATGGCTAAAAAAAGTAACAAAAAACAGCTAGATTCTAAGGCAAATGTAGAAAACTAAAAACAGGAACATGTCTGCATTGGTCCCTGCCAGGAGTCCAACAGATTCTTAAAGCCACATAGAGAGGTCAAGGTCGAGAGCTTCAAATCTTTCATCTTTCAATCTTCAAATCAAAATACCTCCATTATGATAATGTTGAACATCTGTTGATTCTACAGTTCATTTTTTTTTGTGACTGGGATATTTTTATGTTCACGTCCTCTTACAGTGCTCATCCATCACACCGGTCTGCGTAGACCTGGCAGACTGGGAGGCCACAGAGGCCGCTCTGAAGGATATCGGCCCCATCGATCTGCTGGTGAACAATGCTGCTTGTGCCAAGCTGCAGCCATTCCTTGAGGTCACACAGGACCAGTTTGAACAGTAAGGCCAATATAAGAAACCTTCATGGTCCTCAGTGAAGATACGGCATGTGTAGACTGTCATTTGACACAGGACATGGACTGAGTTCAGAATTTCATTGTGTCATGATCCAATTTGTGTTTTACAGATCATTCAGTGTGAATGTGAAAGCTGTGCTGCAGGTGTCACAGGTAACGCTATTGAAAAATTACAAATTTCTAAGTTTCTCGTTCAGCGGCCAGATCCAAAGGGGCTGACCTATTATGGGGGGCTCCTGATTACTCCTCCCGCTTGCAGGAGCGCATCCTCTCTCAACGGCAACTTCCACGGTTGACCCGTCAACTGTTGCAGAACTGGAAACCACGAGGCTTTCATGCCTCATACATGGGTGATCAGAATCATTTTCAGATTCTCCTGTCTCACCCTCTCTAACAGTGCTGATATCAGGGGAACTGGAGGGAAGGCATAAATCAGCATCTTTGGCCATGGCTTGTGTGCAAACATGTTCACCCCCAGTGGCGGAGCATCCCGTGGATTTAGGGAGAAGAACAGGGTGCACTGAGAGTTCTCCCAGGTGGCCATCAGGTCCACTTCTGCTCTCCCAAACCTGTTCCAGTTTTGCGAGATTAGATCTGGATGAAGAGACCAATCCCTGCCCAGAGGGCCTCCTCTTGACATAAGATCTGCTCCTCTGTTTAGAACACCTTGGATGTAAAATGCTCTGATCGAACGTAAATATGCGCGTGCCCAACAGAGCAGTTCCCGAGCTGCATTCAGCAGCTGAGCTGAACGCACGCCCCCTGGCGATTTATGTATGCTGCTGTGGTTCTGTTGTCTGTGTGGATCAAAACGTGATGACCCTGAGCCAGTGGAGCAAAATGTCTGAGTACTTTTTTTACTGTGAGAAGTTTTAAAACATTTATGTCATAAGACATGCCGGCCGGCCACGCACCTCCTATCATTTGTGACAGGCAGGTCCCTCCCTAGCCTGAGAGGGACGCACGCGTCTGTGAACACTGACGTGACTGACGTCACCTTGCCATGGGGAACTCCCTCTGACAGGTTCAGGGAATTCCCCCAGTGGTTCAGATCTGCTCCCACAGATGGAGGAACGGTGATCAGGTGCCGTTTGTGACATACAGGGTCGACATTCAGTCGATTGAACCATTTTTGAAGGCAGCGCATAAGCAATAACCCCAGCGGCACCACAACAAGAGCCGCTGACATGATTCTTTGCAGTCTCATGACTGTCAGCGCTGTTAATGTTCAACCTTCCAACATCAGTAGAGAGAAGAGGGATGCACTCGCCACTCTTAGGAAGGACAAAAACATCATCATTCTCCCAGCAGACAAAGGAAGGGGCACAGTGATTTTGAACCAGAAAGACTATCATGAGAAAGTTATGACACTCCTTAGTGACTTAACCACTTATGAACCTCTGAAAAGAGATCCAGGAAGTGGTTACAAGAAGAAGTTAATAGATTGCCTGAAAATTTTGGAACAGGACAAGGTTATTGGCCGTTTTCTGTACCACAGACTGTACCCAGGGGAGGCCACACCTAGTCTGTATAGTTTACCTAAAATCCACAAACAAGGTGTACCTTTAAGACCAATTGTTAGCATGATTAACTCTGTCACTTACAATGTTTCCAAATATCTGGAATCTGTACTCATCCTTTTAGTTGGCAGCTCAAAACACCACATACAGAACACCATGGACTTTGTGGATAAGGTGAGGGATGTCATCATGGAGACTGATGAAACAATGGTCTCCTTTGATGTCACATCACTATTTACGTGCATTCCTGTTGATGATGCAGTAGAGGTGGTCAGTTTAAAATTAAAATCAGACACCACTCTGAGCAGCAGGACCACGCTTTCCACAGAACAACTGTGTCAACTCTTGAAACTGTGCCTGCAGTCAACCTACTTCACATATTGGGAGCAATATTATAGGCAGAAACATGGGTGTGCTATGGGTTCTCCAGTTTCTCCTATTGTTGCCAACCTGTACATGGAGGAGGTAGAAAAGAGAGCCTTGACGTCCTTTTCAGGGACACCACCAAGTCATTGGTTCAGGTATGTTGATGACACCTGGGTTAAAATTAAATCTCGGGAAGTCCAACATTTTACTGACCACATCAACTCTGTGGATAAATACATCAAGTTCACACGAGAAGATGTAAAAAATGGCAGGTTGGCTTTCTTGGACTGTGAGGTCTCAGTCTCTGATAGAGGACATTTGCAAACTGAGGTGTACCGCAAACCCACCCACACAGACCAGTATTTGCAGTTTGACTCCCATCACCCTTTGGAGCACAAGTTAGGAGTCATCAGGACTCTGTATCACAGAGCAGACAGCATCCCCACTAGCTCAGGAGCCAGGCAGAAGGAGAAATCCCACACAAGACAGGCTCTAGAGCAATGTGGATATCCTAACTGGGCCTTCCTGAAAGCAGAGAAGAAACCCAAACAGGACTCCAGCCAGTCGTCAGGTGAAGAGGAGGAACCCAGACCAGTGGTCATTCCATATGTTGAGGGAGTACCAGAGAAAGTGAGCCGTTTATTTTCTAAACACAACATCCCAGTGGCTTTTAAACCCCAAAATACATTAAAGACTGGTTCATACCAAAGATCCAGCACAAACAGAGTAATATTGTGTATTTTGTTCAGTGTCAGGAGGGTGATCAGTCTTACATCGGGGAAACTAAACAGCCACTGGCCAAAAGGATGGACCAGCACAGAAGATCAACATCATCAGGCCAGGATTCTGCGGTCTACACTCATCTCCAGGCCATCGGTCACTTTTTCAGGGATGAAGATGTTCACATCCTGGACAGAGAGGAATGATGGTTTGAGAGAGGAATAAAGGAGGCCATCTTTGTGAAATGAAATCGTCCATCATTAGATGGGTGGAGGCCTCCGTGTTCAACTGTCCCCCTCTTACAATGCTGTTATTGCTAGTATCACTCAGCCCCCTGTGAATATAAAGCAGCCATCAATGTGCTAATGATCCATTGTTAGGCTGATGGTCCTTCTTGAGCATGTGAGCAGCTGGTTTTGGTTGTCAGTAACAAACTGGTTGATCCACTCTGAGAAGGTGCTATTTAAGAGACTGAGCTGAATACAGCACCTCAGACTGAGGAAGTCTTTCGGATGAGAGACGAAACATTTCTACTTTTTTTTTTGTTGTTGTTTTGCTTTGTTTTGATTTTTGAATGTCCAGAGGACCAGATTTAACTTTTTTAGATAAACTCTAAATGCTCTGAAAGCACAGAATGTCATGATTTCCCTCTCTGTGCCTTCGCTGATCTCAGCCACCGACAAGCTGTCTTGGCCACACCCACTTCTCCACTTTGCACGCAGATCAGCTGATAACTATTCAGCTGCAGCAGGAAGTTTATCCTGCAGTATGGGTTGCAGAGGTACAGGAGGTGGTAAATAATTTAAAATAATTTATGTTAAATAAAAATTCCATGCCAATCGTGCAGCTCATCCATCAATCAGCCAATTGTATGTTATGTCCAATCTTATTTTGAAAAATCGCTATAGAGCAAATTCACGATAAAGGAACCACCAAGTAACGAGGGACTACACAATTATTGCCATCTCTGTGTGTTCTGAGGTGAATTGGCTGTGACAGCCATGTTGAATTATGTTAGGGTTAGTGTTAAGCCATGACACTGAGTATATAGAAGTTTCTGCTTTAAGGTTATTGTCCCCTGTCGTGGAGCGAAGAGGGGATCTGGAAATACCCTCCATACCATTGCACCAGTCTGTCTGTCCATCCACCCGCCCATCCATGCATGTTGTTAGCACTATAACTGGGAAAATAAGTGAGGTACTGACTTCCATTCTGGTGTGTGTACATCTAGAAGAAGGAAAAATTCCTTTCGAAAATATTGTTGACACTTCAAAATCCAAGATGGCTGCCGGCTTATATGTTAACCTTGTGAACTTGGTGTTGAAAGTAAACAACTTTCTGGTTTCCATTTTCCTGTGTGGCTGCATCTAGGTGTAAGAAATGTCACTATCAAAAATTAGGTTGCCAAACTCCACCTTTGCACCTATTTTCTGGATAATATTTCTTCCTCCACTCACCAAGATCCATCACTCTGCATCGCTTTGGACAAGCAAAAATAAGAGCCCTACCTTTGTTCTTCTATGCAGTGTGTGACTCCTATACACTTGAATATCTTGTACCAAAAACTCCCTGTTCAGTTTCAGTCCAGACAAACACTCTTCTCGCAAACTGCAAATATTCACTCTTCAAATGTCAGTGATGCGACACATCTGCAGCTTGTTTACATACATCTGTATGGGAGAACATGTTTAAAATATTTTCTGTCTAACTGGTGAGGAGCAACAGTCTGGGTTAATATACTGAGCGAGAACATTGAAGTATAAAACTTAAGATACACTCAGAAAACAGAAATTAAAATTTTAACTGGAAATTGGAGTTTTAAAATTATAACAAAACACTGCATAAGGAGTAAAAATTGATTTTATTTTTCCACTTGTTATTTTCACTGAAAAAGCTCCACACCTACTGTCTTATCAAGCAGAACCTTTTTTGTGAGCAGATTGTGGCTCGTGGTATGAAGGCTCGAGGGTCTGGAGGCTCCATCGTCAACGTGTCCAGCCAGGCCTCACAGTCTGCTGTCAAAGACCACGCCGTCTACTGTGAGTAACAGAGGGACAGGCAGTATTCATCCACAACTTCAGAGCTTCACTGTCATTAAAGGGATATTCTGGCCATTAGTGAAGGAATGTTCTCTCAAATAGTTATCAATAGTACCTAATCAGCAGTGACATCAGTCATAGAGCACAGACTGGAGACACAAACAGAAGTCTTAATTCAGCTAGGCTAATGGATAGCCTAACCAGAGCCATCCATTCATCCATACATTATATTTTGCTCGCTTCTTCCATCTGCCCATCATTATGCGAGATGTGGGGGACACCCTGGACAGATGTCCAGTCCATCACAGGGACACATAGAGACAAACAAGACTGACACACATTCACTCTCTCTCACACATAAGAACAATTTAGAGTTACCAATCAGTCTAACACGCATATTTTTGGTCTGTGGGAGGAAACTGGAGTACCTGGGGAAAACCCACGCATGCACAGAGAGAACATGCAAACTCCACCCAGAATGGCCCCCCGGCTGGCATATAATCCGGCGACCTTCTCGCTGAGAAGCGGCAGCTCTACCATCTGCGCCACTGTACTGCCCTAATCAGAGGCTAGTTTTTAAAAGTTTTTCAGGCTTAAAAGTTTTTTTTTTTTTTTTAAACAATATACCACTGTAAAAGGATGCTACACTGACAAATATTAAACCACTTCTTGCACAATATTGTTCCTTTTAGTCTGTTTTCAAAGCTGAATGTCTGTGTTATTGCACTAATGTATATGAGGACTGGAGTGAAGACTGGTATATGCCAACGGTGCTGAGGCTACTGAATGTATCAGTCTGCATTGAGTTGAGTAAAATTTTGAAACCTTTAAACTAATTAAAGGTTTGGATCAGAGGTCTTTCTATGCCCTGGACACATACATGGATAATGTTCAATAATAATAATAAAAAAAATAACAAACTACACAAATAGTATCAAATAGAGTTGTAGAGGTTTAACATACTTCCCATTACTCCCGATGACACAAAGTTTGTTTTCTCAGTCATCCAGGTATATAACAACAAAAAA